GATCTTGCACAATATAAACACGAGAACATATCTCTCCCTTGGTGAATTCGAGTGAGTCAGTCGAGTGGTCAACCCTACTGCTTGGAACAGCCTGTGAGGTCCGGTGGTAACCTGAAACGGTAATGGGAGACCCTCATGGATCAACAGAACGATCCAGTAAGGCTGAGGAAGGTTCCTGGAACAAAGAAAGACAAGTTAGAAGGGCGCCGGAGTGTTTTTCGGCGTATCCCCTCCGACGATCAAGTCAGTTTTTTGAGAGAGAGGAAGAAGAAAACACTGAGTATAATTTGTAACAAAGGTTTTTCGTTGCATACCGTCTTGCCTTTTGCGAGGAGTATTTATACCTTAAAAACTCATGATTGCTGTCAGTGTGGTCAGTAGGTGATCATTAGGTACAGGCAGCGTGTGCACGGCTTCCTATGAGGAATGTCTTCTCTTTTAACTGCTCGGGATCCCGAGCAACCAAGGCTGTGTCATCGGCCTGTCGACTGTTCAATGAGCTCCTCTCAGGGAGGATGTAATAAATGTCCAGCCTTAGAGACATTTATTACCTTTCACTTCCGAGCTTTATCGCATTAAATGTTGTCTCATCAAGGGAATGGTGTAATTAAATGCTTGCTTTCCCAAGTCGTGTGTCAGCAAGGGCATCCGGTCTTTCTGTTTCTGATGTGACATAATATGCCACGCGTCCATTCCCCATTGGCTGTGTCCCCTGCCTTCTTGAGCCTTCTGACACTAATTGTGTAAGACGAGGTCATGATGGCTAACCTAGCCTAGCCTAGCCTAGGCTAGCGTCCTGTACATCAATAGCTCTACGGGAGCAGAGAATGCCATCCTGGACGGTACTCCTCAAAACCGAGGAGGTACACATAGGGACCGATATACCATATCCCCCCGACCGAGGGGTACGTGTCGGTACGTAAACGTACTGAATGCCATTGATCCCTACAACCAGTACCTCGGGGGAGAGGGACTTGTGAACCGATGGGTACGTGTCGTGATCACAATAACAAGAATTTAGTGACACCGAAAACACGTGTCTTCATCTTGGAGTATTTTGGAAATGTCCCATCAACTGCCCACCAGCCTTCGATCTTCTGACACCGAGGATACGCGTCGTAAGGAGACGAAGGGTTTTGCAACAACCTCAACCGCTTCATCATTGCCTCTAGCCGCTTTCCCCTGCTTAAGACGTCGTGCGCATTAAATGCGTCTTTTCGTGCTTCGCGCCCAATAATGGGATAGGTACTATATATAAATGGGCTCCCTCTCTTCTTTTCTTATTTCGTCATTCCGAACTTTCTCTAGAGAGCCCTTGCTGAAACTTCGTCGGAGACCCCTTTCCTTCCGTTGTCAACTACCCAACCATTCACCGGAGTTTTAAAGCCAGCAGACCCATCCTTGCTTCTGAACATTCTGGAAGGAATCGATTCAAGTTTTCCAGAAAAAACTTCTTTTTACATTCTGGTGAGTTCCAGTATCTTCGCTCTCTTTGCCTTTCTGTCTCTTTTGGTTCTCCGATAACGAGAGGTGTTTTCTGGTTGCCATTCAACGACCAATCCTCTGGAAGCCTCCTTGGGGATCTTCGTGGAAAAGACCTCCTCCATTTTTTATCACTTTTTGGAGATGCCTCGTCGTCGCCCTACCCCCGAGAATCCTCAGGCCAGTTTTTCGAGGCCAGTGAAGTATAAAGTAAAAGATGGTGAACAAATTAATAGATTTAGGGTTAAGTACAGCATTCCCCCGAATATGGACATAGAGGATTATAACCCGGCTGTGTACCCTCGGTACCGAGGATGCAATGCCCTTTTATACCAAAGCCATCATAGAAGGAGGAATTAGGTTCCCTTTGCCCCTCTACTTCTCCAGTTCCTCTCTTATTTCCACCTCTTCCCCGGGCAGTGTTGCCTTAATGTCTTCAGGATAATTATGGGAGTCCTAGAGCTCAGTAGGCGTCTCGGGATAAATGTTGGGCTGAACGATATCCTTTTTTGTTATTCCCTCTTAAGAGTCATGCCTCAACAACACTTCTACCTCAAAGCCAAGGACCCATCTATGTACCTCGTAACTCACCTTCCCAACTCGAACAAAGGGTATAAGGATGACCTACTTATCTTCAAGGGATCTTGGCAGAGAGGTGTCGGTCCCGAGTATAACGGTTTGTTATGTCCTTTGGAATGGAGAATGATAAGTACGTCGATTCTTTCGGGTCTATTATTTTGTTCTTGAGCTTTTCTACGTGTTCATGACTCACTCCCCTCTCTTTTTGTTTGTATACAGACATCTCCCCTCGGGAAATAGCTCCTTCACCTCGGTCGTTGGTGAACTTTGCGGACCCAGTCACTGTTTGGAGATTTACTGGTGACGACGGGCTCGGCTGGGCTGCCCACATCCTCTTGAATTACACTCCCGGATATAAAAAGTTTTCACAGCTTCTCCAGCCTTTCGAGCCTTCGCGGTGGTCTAAACTCTTCGATTAGGCGGTGAGGCAAGAGGTCGAGGAGAACTTGGAGGAAGACCCNGGGGGGGTTTGGGAATACTTGGAACAATTGGGAAACAAAAGTTAATGTTAGGCCGAAGAACAGAAAGTACGTAGTTTACCTTAGCCGAGGTAAAAGTTACATCCACTGTAATGAAATATCGTGTTCCTTAGGGATTGTATTACTTAAGGAAGAAGATAGCGATTACAGAGGGTTTTTGACTAAGAGCCTTTGTACACAATGTTTTTGAGATAAGATTATGAAATTCTCTCTTTTTACAGTGACTACGTCTTCTATTTATTCACCTGATTTTGTGGTCCCCTCTTCATTTGTCTTGCAACAGAGTCTGCCAGCTTGAAGTCTTTTACGCCCACAATCCATAAAAACATAATGTATACAAGTATTCCCTTTATCAGGGAATATTTGTTCATTAGAATCATCAGAAATTGTCCCCCTGTTCCCCAAACATGTGGTGCGACCGGGGCTACTTGAGGTAATCCTATATGGAGCTTCTTATTCTCGAGTAGGTACATTCCGTCGTGCTTGGTATGACTGACCAGATACCTACCGAGCTGGACGATCCCGAGCTTTCATGTCCCTGGGTTGTGGCCCAATTTCATGATGAGACAGGTGCTCTGCCCATGGGACATTAAGGTTACTTTTTGAGAGGGCTCACTGGATGTTATGGATTCCAAATAGACGGCCCAAGCTCAAATCCATCATTATCACACCTAATTGCGAGTTTGTGTCAACGCCTCCTTATCTTGTTCAATAGATACTGGAGTGTTTAAAATGTGCATAATTTTTAGAGTAGAGAGAAGAAATTACAACTTCATTAGTCATCGTAAAAAATTGTTTCCATCAAAAATTAATGAATCTTTCTGTCATGTGACAAAGTGATTTTTCAGTTGAAGTGTGCTCCATAATACTGTTTTTAGATTTTTGGTAATTTAAGTCATCACTCCGTTGAAAATCACTATTGTAGGAATTGCACTGTAACACTAAGAATTACTCCAATCACATACGAGAACACTTTAAAAAAAAAACAGTATTTGTCCCCACAAATTATTTATAAATGTGTGCACCAGAAGTTTCACAAATTTGTTTCAAAACACAAATGAAGTTTCTTAAA